TGGAAAGTGTCATAATTTAAAAAAAGTGGAAATTAATTATAAATTGTAAATAATATAAAAGCTAAGTGAGAAGAATTTTACCAATGTTAGAAATATTCACAACAGAAATGAGGCAGATGCTATTTGTGTTCCCATAATCAAGTTGAAAGTGAGAATATCTAATTAATAATTCTTACTCAAATGTTAGTTTGCAGGGATTTGATTTGATTGGTTACAGAGTTTCATCATTAGCTGACATCGGTTAGAGAACCACTCGAAAACCTGGAAGTACTCCTCAACAGCTGTTTCGTCATCCTAGTTTGGGACTCATCATCAGTACACATCCACCACAGGGGCTCAAACCCAGGACCTTCTGGTTACAAGGTGACCTCGTAGACCATTGACGGTAAACACCAATGACTGGAGACAATTGGTGATATGGCTCAAAATCGTTCTCAGTGGCTGGCGCAGATGCATCCGCTCTTTGTGATTTATCGTATCTAATAAATCTCTACTGTTCTTCCATATTACTTTTCTTTTTGTCCCATATATCTGTTTATTGTCAGTATTTTGCATTTCTTTTTACTTTCTTCCCTTGCTTTGCGTCATGCATGGAGTGTAGTGACTCAAACTGCTGCACATCGGTGCAAAGTTCTATGTTGAAAACAGACAGACAGACGGATGTAGACCATTCAGCCACCGGGACCCGATCCAATGACAATCCCTTAAATTCCAACTTCTGCCGATTTCCGACATAGCGTGACTACTAGCCAATGTCATCGGCACTATATCTTGAATTGTCAGAAGTTGAAATTCATGGATTGGCCATTGGATCTGGTCCCAGTGGTTTAGTGGTGTAAGAGCTCGCTAGCCTTGTAACCAGAAGGTCCTGGGTTCGAACCACTATGGTGAATGCGTACTGATAGAGAGTCCCGAATTGGGACGAAACAGCTGTCTGGCAGAACTTCCAGGCTTTCCAATTGTTGTTTAAGTGATGTCAGCTCATGATGAAATCATGTGATAATTCTTAACATCGTTAGAGATCCAGCTAAAAAGTCTTGAACATCTCAGTGAGGGAAAGTTAATTAATATTCGTTATCGAATGAATTGTATTCCTTGCACAGCATTTGATTCTTCTCTATCATTTACCAATCATTGGTTTCATCATTAAGGAGAGGTTCTGGTACAAAGTTTTTGGAATTCACAATTTCATGTCATTCAAAGTCAATGGTTGTTTTACAGCCTTAAAATGAAGCTTATTGTATTTTTTACGAGTTGACCATGGATTGACATTAGTTAGAGAACCATTGAAAACCAGGGAGTACTGGACAGCTGTTTCATCCTAGTTTGGGAATCATCGGCAGCACGCACTCACTGGTTAGGTGAAAATAAGCATTTTACTGATTTATTCAACTCTGATGGCGTTGGTGGCACAGTGGCAGAATTCTCGCCTACCATGCACATGGTCCGGGGTTCGATTCTCGGTTGACACACTCCTTTACCTCTCTAGGCCGGTAATAAGACTGGTAAAGAGGAAAGGTTGGGCATCCGGGTAGCAACCCCATTCTATAGAAATGAAAACCATTGTTACTGAAACTTCAAGGCTCTAGCTTGAAGCCCTATGTTCCACTGGTAACGTAAAGGAAGAAAAGAAAATTCAACTCTGATTACAGGTGCGGATTAGATACTCGAAGAAACTAAAATAAACCCATATATTTACTTAAGAAAATGATAAGGATAGTTATTCAAGTGTTGGTTTGTAGGGATTTGATTGCTTAGTTACAGGATTTCATCATGAGCTGACATTAGTTAGTGAACCATTGGAAAACCTGGGAGTACTGGGCAGTTGTTTCGTCCTAGTTTGGGACTCTTCAGCAGTACACACCCACCGGGATTCGAACCCAGGACCTTCCGGTTACAAGGCGAGCTCGTAGACCATTACGCCACTGGGACCCGATCCAATGGTCCTTGAATTCTATGTTGTGAATTGGCAGAAGTTGGAATTCATGAGCCATTGGATCGGGTCCCAGTGGTTTAATGGTCTATGAGCTCGCCTTGTAACCAGAAGGTCCTGGGTCCGAATCCCGGTGGGTGCGCACTGTTGAAAAGTCCCAAACTAGGACGAAACAGCTGTCCAGTACTCCCAGGTTTTCCAATGGTTCACTAACCAATGTCAGCTCATGATGAAATCCTGAGATAAGGATAGTTATTAGTGAATAAGATATTCCCGTAGAATGATACAAACAAGTAACTTGTTATGTCATGAACAAGTGGACATTGTCTTCAAATTAGCATCCCACTTATGTAAATGAAGTGACACATTTATAATTTGACAGGTCAGTTAGTTGAGTAAAGTATGAAATAAGATCAAACTGGAAAAACTCTTGATGTTGTTGGATCGGACATTGCCAGCAGTCTATGAAGTGGTTAGTTGTCGGTTGAAACTGTATATAAGGATGTGATCTGACGATTTGTGGAGGACAGAATGTTGAAAAGTAGAGGTTAGAGACTCTCCACTACTGGACTGAGAATCTCTTACAACGCTGCGATAGATTCGCTCTTTATCATTATTGATATATTTATTACTGGCCATATAAGGGCATTCATTTTTATAATTTATTTCTCAGCAACTATCCTTTTTGTGGTAAGTCGTGTCTTCCATTACGACAGTAAAGCATTTTGACTTAGGTTTATAAGATGTCATCTGCATTCGGTGTATTTGATTCATATTTGATGTTTTAATCTTTAAAAAGACGACATCACATATTCATTATTATAAAAGCTTTTATATTTCCCAATGAATGAAAAAAGAGGACGATATTGTTTGCACTGAAGTTTCACTGTGTAATCTTTATCCAATGGAAATAGAAAAGCTTGAAAACTCATCAGTTATAGATGGCTTACATGCTATAGAAAGTGGCCACAAAATTAATTTCGAAAATATTGTAATCATCCATAGAAATTTAAAAATTCATAAAGAATGCCTTATATCAGAAACACTTCAGATTAATTAGAATTCCAACTATCTGATTATAGGAATGATGGACTGAAACAGAATTTGATATGGTGCCAACATCCCCTCTCCTCCCCCCTTGGCGACATGAGGTGTCAAAGTCAAAACAAAATCCCTGGAAAACCAATACTTGAAAATTAATTGGATGCTCACTAGCAACTGGCCCTATTCAGACGGTTAACCTGGGGTCCTAGTAGAGTACAGCAGGTTGAAGGTGGGGCAATAACTCATCGAAAAAGACACTGTGAAGTAGTCGTAATATTTTATGAATTGGCAGAAGTTAGAATTCCTGAACTGGCTATTGGATCGGGTCCCAGTGGCTTAGTAGTCTAAGAGCTCGCCAGCTTTGTAACCTAGAAGGTCCTGGTATCGACGCCCTGGCGATGAGCACGTGCCGATGAAGAGTCCCAAAGTGGGACGAGACAGTTGTCTAGTACTCCCAGGTTTTCGAATGGTTCTGTAACTTATGTCAGCTCATGATGAAATCCTCCCACCAATCAAAACAAAGTTTCATTGTATAAACACATGTTGTTTGAATGATTTCGCATACTTATCAAGTCTAACCACCTGTGCATCATTTGTCATGTTTACCAATTCACTAACTTGACAAGGTAAAAATTAGCTGTGATTAAGTTACTGTATTATAAGCTGAGATTTTGTAAATTTGATACAGCTATTAGCGTTAAAGAGTCAAACGTTAGTCATCAAAAATATCGTTTTGTTTATTTATTGATTAAATAAAAAATGAATACAAAAACTCCTATATTGGTGAATATCTTATACCAGATGCTCAAATTGTTTTCAAAACAACTGAATGTGAACTTGGTTTGGATGTGCACACGACATTGAATAGTTTGGATGTTTTGATGGTCATGACAATGATTATTAGTGTGAACACACATCTCTTGTGAAGTTGAACTTACCTCACACATTACTGATTTCACTAATATTTTAGTCTTCTTCAAGATGCCAAATGCAAGATGATGGTACAGGACTGGACTACACCGACTCCTAGGTTAGAAATAGGAAGTGAAGTGGTAGAGCACGTTGACCGCTTCACTTATTTGGGAAGTACCATCAGCCCCAACGGGTTGATCTCTGACGAAATCTCGGCACGAATACAGGGGGGCTCGTTTCGCATTTGCCAGTTTACGGCGTCTCTGGCGTAGACGAGATGTTCGACTATCGACCGAAGGATGGGTGTACTGCTCATCAGTCCGCTCCGTCCTCCTTTATGGCTGAGAGTGAGACCTGGCCACTGAGAGTGGAAGACATGAAAAGACTAGCTGTCTTTGATCATAGATGCCTGCGCTCTATCTCCCGTGTTATGTGGTATGAAAGGATGAGGGATATTGAGGTTAGTCATCGGTCGAGTTTTAGGTAAGAAGGGGAAATGGATCGACGAGGCTGTGAAATTACATCGATTGAGATGGTTAGGACATGTGTTGCGTATGCCTAGTCATCGCCTTCCTCGACTGACGGGCAATGCTAGCTGATATAGGGTCAGTCTGGAAAAGAGCTAGCGGAGGTCAACCCAAAACATGGGTTCATCAATCAATGAAATCTACAACAGTTAGTTTAAGCCACGTAGGAAGGTGTAGACTTCCTGACTGGTTGGGGTCCTCGGGACGGTAAAAACCAATGGTTGGAAACAATTGGTGACATGGCTCAAAATCGTTCTCAATGGCTGGCGCAGATGCATCCACTTCTTACGACTTATGATTTCCAATGAAACTGTTTTATTCATCGTTATTACTCCTCCTTTGTCTCACACCTATTTTTACTGTCTCTATTATGCTTTTCTTGTACTTTCTTCTCTTGCTTTGTGTCCTACATGGAGTGTGGCGACTTGAACTGGTGCACATATGTGCAAAGTTCTATGTCGAAAACAGACAGTCTTCAGTGTAGATTTGAAATGTTCTTTCGTTAATATAATGATAAGGATACATTATAAGTATGGATTTATGTTGTTTTTTTTGTATTTTTTGCTATTTACTCAACAATATAGATTTTACTTTTGAAAATGATGGCTTTTTGGATTGGTCTGAACCAATGAAGGAGAATCCTATCTAGAAAGAGGGTAGTAACATGAATTGGAGAGAACAGCTGAATATGCAACAACATTTTTGATTGGTAGAGAAAATGAACAAAATATTCTTTTATTAATCACAACAATTGTATTATCCCCACTTTACCTTCTTCTCTTTTCTCTCTTCTGATATATATATATACCAGCTTAAACTAAATATTAATAATTATATTGTCTTTCAAAGTTTGTTTGTTTCTACTTTACCCTTGTGATGCAATCATTCTTTCTTTTCTTCTCACCTTGTATATACACAAATGCATATAAAACAGTATAACAATTTCTAACGCTTAAACTACCCCTACTAACTAAGCCAGATCATACTGATTGTATAATAGCCTAATTGAGTAGCCTAGTTTGTGCATTTACAACACGGTACTGGTGCGATTGCTCCCCTGACACTTCCTGTCCCGCCGCTCCCCGCCCACCTTCTCGTCCCATCGTCCTCAACAAATCAACAGTATCTCACTGTCATTATCATCATCATCCTCATCATTCATCAACTACTTCTTCGTACTGATCAATTGCCATTTGTAATTATCAATCATATCACTCAGCTATGGGAATGGAGATAACCTTTTCTAAACATTATTATTTTATTATCATTTGATATTTTGTATCCTTCAACTAACAACATAAGTTGTACAACATTTTGTTATTTATTTACTTACTTATTTTCCCCCATTCATTATTTATGTTTTTTTAATCAGCATGGAGTGTGCTTGCTTTCCAGCTGGGAGATTCACATATTGTGTTCATTTTTCCATGTGAGTGAAGAAGCAACAAGAAATAAAAAGACTCAGTTGTGTGTGTGTGTGTACAAGTTTTGTTTTGGTTTTTTTCGTTGAATTTTACCAGTTGTTGATTAATCTAATAGATTTCTCTATTTATTTTTGATTATTATCCATCAAATTTCGACAATTAATCAACAACTCTTTCGATTTACTAAGATATGATCAATGGAAAAATGTTCTATGATGTGAAGTTGTTCTGCTTGTTACCCTGACAATATTGTCTGTGTGAGTGTGTGTGCGCGCGCTTGTGTGTAGTTCCTCACCCCACCCGACCCCACTTCCAACTCAACTGCGCTTTTTTAACTATTCATTATGCATGTGTGTAATATGTGTAGACTTGAGGACTTTCTTATTCGATAGACTTAGCCTTAAACATCTATTTGTTTATGTATCTTGTATGTTTATGTAAATAATATCGCATTCTGTTGTTTTATCATCAGCTTAATAATTATGACTTCAAAAAATATTCTGTAGATCAATAAATGATAGCTACTATATTGCAGTTGTTTTTTTTGTTGTATTTTTAATCTCATGTTTAAACCACAATGCAAACTATCGAACACAAAGTTTTATTACAGGCCAGTATTACATCATTTTGAGTGATGATGATACTGTTAAGATATATGCACCCGTAGTTAATCAGGTTGACCTTAAAACATACTCATCACTTTGTTTACATCTTAAAGCTATCTATGGTCAACCTTTTCAAGTTTTGAATATATAACTCTCCTATGCCATGCTCAACAAATATACAGAAGAAAATAGAGATGGATTGATCGGTTATATGTTGAGGAGGCCAACAAATGACATCGCGCACAATGCAGGGTGTCGCTGGAGCGGAATCCGAATGGAAGGTGACGAGTGAGTGGTCGATGCGAGGGTGACATAGAGGTCTCGTTGGAAGGAGGAGATGAGAGATTATGGTCAATCTTTGCCCCAGATGAAGAGGAGAGGAGAAAGTGGAAATGTGTTGTTGAAGCCCTATATTCCACTCGAAACCCAAAGGAACAATGATAATAATATGCTATGCATTCTTCTGAAGTTTGCTTGGTTACAAACAATATTTGTTTTCACTGATTAATTCTTGAGGTCAACAGCACTTAAACCATTAGGTCATCATCATCGAGAAGTTCTCTGGAGATGCTTGGCTGTAAAGGGAATTCTGAGAAAATATATTGCACTGATTAAGGCACTCTACTCGTACTCATACAGCCAGGTGAGGGCTTACGGCGAGCTGTCATCTGAACTGGTGACGACCAGTGGTGTTCGTCAAGGATGCCCATTATCCCCTTTTCTATTCAACTTCATCATAGATGTACTAATGAACTTAACCCTAAGTGACTTCAGCGACTCAGGGATTGACTTGCTACCGGGGAATAATCTCGTTGACTTGGAATATGCAGACGATATAGTCCTTCTAGGCGAAGACGCTGACGAAATGCAGAGTCTTCTAAACACCTTGAGCCGCAACCTACGAATGCTTGGCATGCGATTCGCTCCCGCCAAATGCAAGATGATGTTACAGGACTGGACTACATCGACACCTAGTTTAAAAATAGGAAGTGGAGTGGTAGAGCACGTTGACCGCTTCACTTATTTGGGAAGTACCATCAGCCCCAACGGGTTGATCTCTGACGAAATCTCAGCACAGATACAGGGGACTCGTTTCGCATTTGCCAGTTTACGCCGACTCTGGTGTAGACGAGATGTTCGACTATCGACCAAAGGGTGGGTGTACTGCTCATCAGTCCGCTCCGTCCTCCTTTATGGCTGAGAGTGAGACATGGCCACTGAGAGTGGAAGACATGAAAAGACTAGCTGTCTTTGATCATAGGTGCCTGCGTTCTATTTCCCGTGTAAAGTGGCATAATAAGGTGAGCAACATTGAGGTTAGGCGTTGAGTGCTAGGTAAGAAGGGGAAATCAATCGACGAAGTCGTGAAGTTATAAAGACTGAGATGGTTAGGACATGTGTTACGTATGCCAAGCCATCGCCTCCCTCGACGAGCAATGTTAGAGGATACATGGTCACGCTGGAAAAGAGCTAGCGGCGGTCAAACAAAAACTTGGCACCAGTCAATGAAATCCACAACAGTTGGTCTAAGCCACGAAGGAAGGTGTAGACTTCCAGGCTGGGGTCCTCGGAACGGTAAAAATCAATGGTTGGAAACAATTGGTGACATGGCTCAAAATCGTTCTCAGTGGCTCAGATGCATCCACTCCTTGTGACTTATGATCTCCAATGAAACTGTTTTGTTTTTCTTTATTACTCCTTTGTCTCACACCTCTGCTCACTGTTTCTATTATGCTTTTCTTATACTTTCTTCTCTTTCTTCGCGTGCTACACGGAGTGTGGCGACTTGAACTTCCGCACATTTGTGCAAAGTTCTATGTCGAAAACAGACAGACAGACAGACCATCATCATCGTCATCTTAGGTTTTGGTTCTTAGATGAAGCAATAAGAAGACGTAATATGTCTTTATCTAAATTCATAAAGGGAACTAATTGTTTTAAAGTTTTGGTTCTTGTTAATTTTCACTCTACTGGTGTCTACTCCTGTCGTTTGTTTTTTGAGTTTATAGTGAGCTTAAGAGACTGAAAAACAAGGTTTCTAAGATAGTTATCTAACATTTATGAAAGCCTAACTGGAATGCTGTATCTGAGATATCCTGCTAATCATATATAGCTTCGTATGAAACCAGTTTTCATTACAGTAATCTTCAACTAAATTGACTACTATTATTTGGCGATTAAGTAATCCAGAATAAAGTGTTTTTGAACAAAATTGTCGAATATAGCTATTCAAATTGTATTGGTTTCAAGGTAGATTTCATAACAACCAACTTCCGAGTGAGAGTCATAGAAAACCAACAGAGTATTGCATAGTTTACAGGATTTCATCATGAGCTGACATCGGTTACAGAACCATTGGAAAACCTGGAAGTACCGCCAGACGGCTGTTTGGTCTCAATTTGGGACTCTCTATCAGTCCGCACCCATCGGGGTTCGAATCCAAGCCGAGCTCGTATACCATTAAGCTACCGGGACCCGATCCAATAGCCCTCTCGTCGTTGCATAGTTGATTCATTCACGTTTGTGACTTTCAATCGTAGACACCCACGATCATGTTATGTATTAGACTCAAAACTTCTAGATTATAGAATATTTCTTTCTACCATTACCCATTCTGTTTCGCTCTTATACCTGTCAGACTCTATTGATTCTCTTCACTCATCTTCTTGTCTAGCTTTCTGTGCCATTTGGAACGCGGCAACTCGAACTACTGCACTTTGGTGCCAAGTTCTATGTTGAATCCAGACAAACAGATTATAGAATTTGTAGGGATTTCGATTGATTTCAGTTGCTAGGTTTCTTCACAAACCAACATCATTTAGAGAGGTCATTGAAAAATGATTAGTCAATGGGGTTTGGTCTCATAACCCGAAGGTTCAGGGTTCAATCCTTGGTAGGGTCGTGATTGTGCGTTGATGAAGAGTCCAAAAACAGGATGAAACACCTGTCCAGTGACTCCTGAATTTTAGTGATCTCTCTAAATGATGTTGGTGGTGTTATGATACAAGAACGTTTAGGTTACAAGGTGAGAAAATTATCAGTTATCACCGCATTCTAGTTATTTCATAAAATGAACATACTGTTGAAGAAACTCTGAGTTGATAATCCATGTGATTTACTTCGCTTTTGGCGTATGAGTACATATGAATATCCTTATCTAAGTAATAATGGCAGCAGTAACATGAGTTAATAAATGAAAAGCCTTTTGATAAAACACTTGCTCAACTTGTGAATTGAACTTAAAACTTCAATGAGTAAGAAAGGCGCAGTATTTTCTTTTTTAATTGCACATGAACCACACCATCAGGGTAAGCTAATCAACTAGCCTTCAATTACTTTACTCTGAGTAACCATAACACTTACAGTCTAGGAAATTTTTCCTCAATAAAAAAAAATAAGCTCGCTAATATTTTCAAATTATACAGTTCAAGCTGAATTTTCATGAATAGTGGTTTAGTTACAATGAAGTTGATGTTGTATGTAAACCTTGCCGTACAAAATTAAAAACAAGCAAAACTACTGACTGGTGTATATGTTATTCTAGTCCAGAAGGTGGATTCAGTAGATCAACCCGTTTAGAATGTTCAACAGCGAGCTTTTACATCATACCTTATTTTACA